CAGTCGGATGGGTAAGCAGTGGAAATGCAACTTACCTGATTCCAAAATGCAACTCTTAACCTCTGCTGTCCTGCCCCTATGGGGATGTTCACCTGAGTGCTTTCTAGAAGAACTGTAATCAGCCTACATATCCAAGAATATGGGACTGATTAAAAAGTTATAGTACATCTACACAGTATGTGGCTAAGAAAGTCACACTACAGAAGAACTTGAATTAAATGAGAAAACAGACACTCTGTAGTGCCACATAAATAAAGCCTGTTAAAAGGCCTATGATACAAGTCCAACTTTATAAGCATGTTTTGTTATATTTATTATAATTATACTATATTAAAAAGGTGATGATATGATAAAACAGCTTGATGTAATATGATAAAATGTCAATAAAGCTTATCTGTAGACAGCAGGACTTTCATATTCTTCTACTTTTTGTATTTCTCTAAATTTTCCACAATGACCATTCATAAATTTAATTAGAAAAGAAGTCTTGTAAAACATATAGAGAAACAAGAAGAGAGACATGTACTGAACAAGCATATATAGATGGTTTATATAGTTTATAGTAAAAAGTTGGGCTAAAATTTGGAAAGATTTATCTTCACTTGCTATTTGGGGAGGAAAAAGCAGTACACACACACGGAAGGTATTCTAGTTCTAGGAATCTGCATGTCTTTATGAGTCCTTTCCATTCTCCAAAGACGAATGGCCGGTGTTGCCAGGAGGAAGGGATCAAAGGTAGCTCTTGGCAGACACTAGCACAAAGCTACACTGCACTTGCTCCAGGAATTTTAGCAAGGTTTCCCAAGGAATCCTCATCAGCGAAAGGAAGATGTTCTCAAAGCACTGGCTCTTATATTCCTCTTCTAACCTAAAATCCCCTAATGTATTAAGAATACAAAAACTAAATTCAAAGTGATCAAAAGAAGTCTCTTTTTTTACTTAATTCTAAGCCATATTTTCAATAATCAAAACACACTTCCACTTTTGAGAGCTCGGACAAATAAACTAAATCTTACACAGTGCCTGCGACGTAATCAGGCACCCGATGAACATATAATGAAGGAATCGTGAAGGAAACGTTCGCACGCGGCCCAGCCATCTCAGGGAAAGGTTTCGGAGTATAGAAGTCATGTTTATTTGACACTCTTGGCCAGACCAGACTGGCACCAGCACCGAGAACTGATGAAGATGAGGACACGTGCACAAAGGACGAGGGAGACAGAGCTCCCCGTTCAGGTTTGGAGCCCGGGTGATTCCTTCATTGTGAGATTCAAACTTTAATTTCACTTGTGGGGAGAATCACGGATACTGTTCTCTGTTTTTGATTAGATCTTGCACTGTGGTCGTCTCCCATCTCTGGTTAGGCCTCACACTGGATTCCAGTCTATCTGAAATGTCCTCCTGGCAGAGGCAGCCGGCCTCGTGACTTTCAGCTGCTAGTTATTACTTTTTCATGACATTTCTCAGATGTTCATGATTATTTTCTCTATCCCTAGGAAAACTGAGGAAGATAATAAGACAAATATCTTGTCTGAGGGCCACTAAGAGAAGTGATAAAAACAAGATCCTTTCATAACCACTCTCTTGCTTAGCACAACCGAGTTAAAGTGGTTCTTTTTTAGATTAGCAAAGCAGTCTAAAATGTCGTATTTCTTTTCATTTGTATCACCTTACATAATAATCTGTCATCTTTGAAATCTCTCTGCCCCTTCTAATCCCCCATATCCAGTTGGTTACAAAGTCCTGTTGATTCTCTCTCTATAATCGTTTTGAGCCTGTCCTTTTTTCCTGACTGCAGCTCAGCTATTTGGTTCAGCCCTTGACGGGGTATGCCCTACCTAATCTATTGCAGCTGTCTTCTTCCTCCATGCCTCTCCATAATCAAATACGTGCTACACACTGTGGCCAGAGCTACCCTCCTAAAGCTAGAATCTGATCTTGTTACACCTGTGCTAGACATACCGTTTTATTAAATCTACCAGCAGCCATGATTTCAGGAAAGTACTCCTCCATCATTCTATTAATAATCCTGCTCCGTCCACCAGGTTCCACGGACTAACTCTGTCCCCACCCCACCCCTTCACCTCCTCCCCCACATCCCCGGGGACAGGCACAGGATCCAGGCCATCTGGATCCATCTGCTGTGGTCCATGTGATTGGCCTGAGATTGAGTAATGAATCATGTGAATGGCCCCATACTGGCCAATCAAAGTCCCTGGAGCCTTCTGCCAACACTGTCAGGAAAGGCGCTCTCTTCTCAGCGATCACAGGCTCCAAGGACTGCTGAGGCTGAGCCTATCTGGGACACTCTCACAAAGAATAAAGCCAACACTAAGACCAGCAGAGGTCACACATAATGAGAAGCTAGAAGGAAAGTAGAAAGGCTCCAGCACATGGAAAGACGTCACTGGAGTCCCCAGACCTTGCCATACTTCTGTCATTTTGGATCTACCAGTTACGTGAGCGAATAAATGCCTTTCTTCCTTGTAAACTATTCTAAATTGCTTGACACTTCTGTATGCAGAACAGTTGTGATGCACATAACTTCACTACTTAGAACTTTCAATAGCTTCTTACTTCCCACAGGAAAAACAACCGCAAACTCCTTAGCACGACATTCAAGTTATTCAACAGAAGAGACCACCTTAGCTTTTCAGCTTTAACTCTCCTGTCCCAGCCTCAAGTAGTTCTTTTAGATTTTTTTTTCAGAGATAGGGTCTTGCTGTATTGCCCAGGCTGGAATGCAGTGGCATCTTCACAGCTCACAGCAACCTCAAACTCCTGGGCTCAAGCAATCCTCCTGCCTCGGGCTCCTGAGCAGCTGGGACTACAGGCACATGTCACCATGTCTGACTAATTTCTCTGTTTTTTGCAGAGCTGGGGTCTTGCTATGTTGCTCGGGTTGGTCTCTTCCAGATATTATTAATATAATGACCATAGAATCGATACATTCTCCTATAGCCATCACAGATCCTGATTTCTGCCCCCACACCACTGCTCATACTACTTCCTGAATCTGAATTATTCTTCTACTCTCTCCTTCACTATTAAGTCTTCCAGGTTCAGCTTATATTAAGCACTAATATCACATTTTACATTACAGCTTTCATATGCATATATATCTCACCCTACCAGGACTCTCTGCAGAAAAGAACTGGCTCTTCCTAAAGTTTAATCTCTAGCACCTGATAATCTGTTCTAGAGAACAGATACTCCACAAATGTTTGCAGCTCTGATCAGAAATAAAAGACTAAGGATTAATACCTATTAGACTCTTAATTCTTCCTTCTGTTAGAATTTCTCAAAGATGAACTATATCACTACACAGCCCAGCAATGGACACTTACGCATTTATCCCAGAGGAACAAATGTATATTCACACAGACCTGTATGCAAATATTTGTGTAGCTACTTTGGAATAGTGCCAAACTGCAAACAACCCTGATGTCCTTCAATGGATGAACAGTTCAACGAAGTGTGGCACATCCATATAATGGAACTACCCAGCAATAGAAAAGAACAAACTATTGATACATGCAACAACTTTGAAGAATCTTGAGGGAATTATGCTGACTAAGAAACAAAGCCAATCCCAGCAGGTTATACATTGCATATTTCTGTTTATATAACCATTTTGAAATGAAGAAATTATAGAAATGGAAAACAGATTACTGGGCTGCCAGGGGTTAGAGATGGGGTATGAGGTGGGGAGTGAAGAAGATGGTTAGGGCATCACAAGGAATCCCTGTGGTGACGCAAATGTTCTGCAACTTGACTATACCAATGTCAATATTCCGGTTGTGATATCGAAATACAATTTTGCAAAATGTTAGCATTAGAGGAAACTGGGTACATGGGATCTCTATGTATTATTTCTTACAACCACATGTGAATTTACCGCTATCTCAAAATAAAAAGTTTAATTTCTAAGAAAAGCTAACCATATTTCAAACAGATACTCAGTGCTAGAATACCTCACAAATAATCATAGTTTCAAACAACAGATCTCACTAGAACTAGTAATACAATAGGGTTTTGCCCACCAGAGGCGAGTGGCTCTCCCGAAAAAGAAGTAGAGAAGAGAGTCATTCTGGTCAACACGAGAGAGGCAATTTCTTTACATATGAAAGCTATTTTCAGAAACCAGGACGGCATAAGAAATTACAAATACTAACAAGAGAACTGTCCCCGCTCAGAACACTGAGCTGGGACCCCAAGTAATAGTCTGTCTCTGCAAGTGCACAGCTGGGGCTTCCATGGGGATGAATAACAGCCACGGATCTGTGAAATTCGATCTGTTTGCCATTTAGATCCATGTGACTCACTGACGCTGGCTGCATTCGTATCTAAAAATACAGCAAATCTGCAGCCTAAGCAAATTTGGCCCATGCGCTCATGGGTTTTTGATTCAAATATCGCACATTTGGAGACAGTGGTTTTATATTTATATTAGCCATCAGCAAAAAAGGTTCTGCTACTCAAGTGACAGGTACTAGGTTGAAATCTAGAAGCAAATAGGATCAGAAGATTTATCTGCTTATATACATTTTATCTGGGAGTTATACAACACCTGCTCAGTAACAGAGACATGAAGTCTGAGGTCCTCTGCAGGCTAGAATGATGCCCTTCCTTGGGCAGTGGGTGTGTCCCACTAAATACCTGTCCCAAAAGAGGACAGAAGGAGTCATGAGCTATTAAGGACCAAGTAGGGTGTGGTGGTCACATGAGTGACCAGGCTCCCCTTGGACTGCCAGTGCAGAGTCTAGTGAGGGTGTGGTGCCTTGGACCTGGCCCTTTTTATTTCATCCAGTCCTACTCAGAACCTTTCCCAGTGGTGCCTGCAGTCATGACAACTGGCAATGTGGCAGCTAACTTCAGGGTGATAGCTCTTGGACATCCTGATTCCTTCCCCAAAAGCTGTTGTCCATAGTCACAGCCCTGGTGACCTGTCAGCGTGGGCCTCCCCAGGGACCTGCCAGGCACAGGCACACTGCACTCACCCATCAGGACACTCAGCAATTTCTGCACTCTGGAGTTGACCCCCACGATTCGGTACAGCCCTTGCTCATTGATCCCTGAGGAAAGAAACAGTGATGATTAAATCAGAGGCGCATCAGAACACAAGTCAGGCCAACCCGGCCAAATGCATTTATTTTTTCATTTTCTCAGTCCTTCTAAAAGCTGCTCTAATTAAAGCCCCCTGTCACTCAGCTCAGCTCTTAGCAAAGGAGTGGGATTTGGCGCAGCGGTCTAGGATTTCACGGATGTGCTGCGCACTTCAGCCCTCATGTTAGTTCAGACATCGGAGGGGAAAAAAACTTTCCTTTTCCCTTGCCAAAGGCAACATCTGAAGAGTTTTAAAAGATGCAAAATATATACTTTTAAATATGTCATATTTAACCAAGTTTTTAATTTAAAAAGCCAAAATGACATGATTAAAAATTCGTACAACAGAAAAGACAAATACTTTGCAATCTATTTTTACATACGGAATGAAAATATTGAGGTATAAGGACATTTTTAATTTTAGGGAATGTTAGCCAAGACTGAAAAATTAGAAGATCCATTCATCACTTGTAAATATTCTTTAATTAAAAAAAAAAAAAAGAAGACCACCTTCATTCAACCTAAGGAACTGTGCAATTAGACTAGAAGAGATTTACCTTCAACCTTCTGAACAAAAAACTAAAAACTAGCCCGTTGCACTACTCTTATTCAGTTAAATGCATGGGCTATATCACCACTCTACCATTTACAAAAGAGGGCGATTTAGACCAAGTGATTTCAGCAATGCGTTTTCTTCTGTTAGTGCCAGGCCCATCATCTCTGACCCCTGTCAAGTAATTGGGCTCTTGCGTCCTATTTTATTTCTCTGATGTCCATTCTCCAACCAGCAACCAAAGTGAACTTCTTAAAGTGTAAATCAATTCACATCACCTCTTCTCCTTAAACCCTCCAATGGCTTCCCATTGCATTTAGACCATAATCAAGTAGCAATTACAGTGGCCTACCAGGCCTGTACCATCGAGTACCAGCCCATCTATGACCACATCATCAACCACCTGCACTCCGCTCCAGCCACAGTGGCCTTCCTATTACTCTAACGTACCAAGCTCCTGTCCCCACTTCACGGCCTTAGCTCCAGCTGGTTCCTCTACCTGGACCTCTTCTCCCAGATCTTTTGACCATTCAGGTCTCAGCTGCAATGCAATCTCTTCAGTCTAACGCATCACATGACCAACACTACTGGTCATTCTCTTTCCCTGTTTTTTTCTTTTCTTTTCTTTACAGCAGCTAACAATAGCTGAAGTTATGTTTTTTATTTTGTTCCTTGTTTGTCTTTCTCTCTGCAACTAGAATGTAAACTCTAAGGACAATGACTCTATCTTGTTCACCATCACGTCCCCAGCCCCTAGATCAGTATATGGTATGTAATGAATAGTGTACTGAGTTATACTCCATCAGAGCAACTATAAAATACTTTTCTGGGGGGCCAAAGCACAATTTTCTGGAAGACATTCAGCAAAGGGCTGATTCTGCAGCATCTTCAACAAGACCTATATAGAAGTGGAACTAATGAATTAAAGGAAGTGGCTTGGAATATGATTTTACAGCTAAAAAGGACTTGTAAAATCATGTACACCATTCTGCATGGTTCATGGGCTGAAAACCCCTGGTCAAAAACTAAGAGATGGGCCCCAACTTTCCCAGCAGTAGAAACTTTACTCAGGAACATGCCAGCTTGAAGAGCTTGAAAGGTCTGTGGTGTCTACTTCTTTTATCCTTGTGCTTTCCTGGAACTTTATACAATCCCAGCTCCCCCTGGAAAATTATTAATGAATCTCAGAGAGTATGGGAAGTCTATTCATCTCTGGTCACCATAAACATGTGTACACACACACACATTGCAACAGGGAGATATGCACTTCCTTCGACTATTTATGCTAAAATGGCATCTAACTCACACTGTCCTTATTTCTTCTTTGTGCTAAATGAAAACTTTCTTAGAAGTTAAAACATAGCGTTTCTAGCCTCATTTCAGAGAGGGGAGAAGGCAAGGAGGCAGGGATTGAGAGGCCGGACCAACTTGTGGTCCTCTTCTTCTTCTTCTCCCACTTATTGTATATATTTTCTAGTTCTGTATCAGAAAAAGTTGTCCTCCTGAGCTGTGGGTTTGCGTTTACCACAGACCCTATGAACGGCTTGCAATGATTAGGTTTCCCCCTCGGTTGTGGATGCTGAAAACTGAGAGGCAAACAGGTGGCTCAGGTCAGGCAAGCATGTGAGCCTCCATTGTAGGGAGGGCCGTTTGCTCTGGACTCCTCCTGGGCTCCGTTCTCATGCCTCTACCGTTGTGGGCCCTATACCTCTTATGTCTCATTCATTTCTTTTAAAATGAAAAACAAAACTCCTGTTGAAAAATTACCTTAGTAATCTAAACTTCAAAAAAGTTTAGAAACTACAGTTAAGGCAAATAGACAGGTCAAAGGAAGACAGTTAAAAATCAGCAGAGCACACCGCTGATATGCAATGAAACCTGAGCAACAGGCCCTCCTCTCTCCTCACTGCTCCCAGGATGGGTTCACACTGGGCAGCTGTTTTGCAACTTGCAGTTTTCACTTAATGTATATAATTAACACATTAACTGCCATGTGAGTTGTATTTAACTCATGCTAGTTGTGAGCCCAGGGCCTCATGAAGCAAAACCTGGGCAAAACCCTGCAATTGATTCGTGAAAATTTTACTTGTTGATGTTCTTATTGCTACAAGTAATATTGGCAAATTAATTCTAAAAATGTGGATTAAATGAATAGGAGTCAATAAATTTCATTTTTCATTAAATTAGAAAGGATTGTTTTATTTTTGAAGTTTTTATTCTATTGTCATCATAAAACACAGTGGCCCCAAGGAAAAAAATTTTTTTTCTAGTGTGGCAGTCAACATGTTAATAGTGCATGTCAAGAAATGTATTTGCACTACATTTTTAGTGATTCACAGTTTTTTACTACATGGGTGTACCACTGTTGATTTAACCAATTTTTGAGATGTTTGGTCAGTTTCTCATTTTACACCTTAACAAACCATTGTGTAAACATCCTTCTGGCTCAATCTGGCTTATTTCCTTATTTCCTCAAGATCAATTCCCAGAAATCTCACCTACTTCTATTTTATATTCTCTGGATATATTCTATGTGTCCTTATAAGCTGCTCGAACTCTTCGTTTAAGGGAGGTATAGCAGAAATAAGCAAATATTAGAAAAATGTTTGCACGCATTAAAACAACTCCTTTGGAAAGAATACCTTTTAACAGGATACACAGGGGCAGAGGCTCTTGAGGTTAAGTGTTTTCTCCCCACCCCCTCTACTTTATAAAAAAGTTTATATTTCTCAACTGGTAAGAGTTAGGGACCTGTTTTAAAATACGGAATTTCTTTCAAACAAATAGAAAGGGCTGGCAGTTGAGAGTCTGTCAAATACAAAAGATTCACACCTCTGATAACTGTTCAAATCAAATCCAGTGGAAAGACGGTTAACACCTTTTCTCAGGGGTACAAAAGACCAGTGCACCCAAAGCTCCAGACTGCTGGAACAGAGCAATCCCCTTTGTGGCAGTCTCTGAGGGAGGGATGGAGACCATTAGAATAAACCAACTTCCTTGGTCTCAACATCCTGCTCCTGTGGACCCAGGAAAGGTCAGTGGGAAACACGGGCATCACCCCTTCTCTCCACCTGGATGGTCACCAGGGATTGGCTCCCTAGAGCACCTAGGGTCACAGACACCAAAACATCCATCGGAGAGAATTCAGGGTGTCTATGAACTTAGACGGGAAAACAATTACATATTTATCTTCACTAACCTATAACTGACATGCTTAATAGCATTTCTTTCCATTATGAATGTAGACAAGAAACCACAGTAGCATTAGCAATACCTGCAACGTGGTCAGAAACGGCAGACATTTTCCTAACACATTACAGTCGTTACAGACATCCTGAAATATCACTACTTCCAAATGATGTCAGTTATCAGACCCACCCCTGTAACTTTATTAAAGTGTTAACAAAGAAACGCATATATTACTATATCCCAACTATGTTTTTTAATACTTTAAAAATGGAATTACAGTAACTGGTTTCTATAATCCTACGTATTTCACATGTATACATTTAAAACATTCTTCTGATCAGCCAAAGAAGTTGATGACACAAAGCCAGTTGAGAACCCCTGCTTCAGACCAGCAGGACTTGCGGAACACAGCAACAATGGCACTCGGGGAGTTAATGAGTCACTTCAAGTCGGGAAACAGCAGGTAGCAGGTCCGACTCCTCACCAGATGCACGACCTTCCATGAGAACAACGCCACCTGCTAAACGACTTTACCTCTGGTTTCCACAGCGTGGATGCATTTCCTGATTATGCTGAAGCCAACGCTGTCCAACTGCGCAGCTGAAAGAGCAAGAGAAGGACAGTCAAGTTGCTAGCCCTGCAAATCAACCTCAGGACAGTGCTTAGCCGAGCCAGGATGAGTCAATCTCATGCTGTAGCCAAACAGCCTTTTAATTTTTCCCATTAACCATATAAGAATAATTTAAAAAATAACAATAATAGCTGGCATCAATTTGAGAGCTTTCCATATGCCAGGTACGGTTCTAAGTGTTTTGCATGGATTATCTCATTTAGTTCTCATAGTAATCTCAAGTTATAGTAACGTGCAAGGTTATCTTCAATATATAGCTGAAGAAACTGCAGATTAGAGTGGCAGGCACCTTTAAATTGGTTTGCTATTCACAGGAGCTGTAGGACTGTTTGTGGTCTCCTTCGAAAAGTACAAATTAAGTGCTCTATAAATATAAATACTTTACACAGATTATATCATTTAATCCTAGCAAGTCCTCCAGGATGATACTATTATTAACCTATATTACAGACGAAGAAACTGAGGCTTGGTAAAGCTAAATATCTTGACCAAAGATGCAAAGCTAATACATGGAGACTTGCTCCAGAGTCTATACCACCAAATTGCCTGAAGTGTGACTCTGAGTTAAGGTATAACCCTGTAAAGGTGACTAGAAGAAAGGAAAAATGGAAAAGAAATTAAAGAAAAATAACCCAGAGGAAAATAAAACAGCCAAGAACAAAGAAGCTACCTGAGGAAGAGCCATTAAGGCAGTGGGGTCATGGCTATATGTGGTAAATCAGCAGGGGGACAAGAGTTCTCCATTCACTTCAAAACCCACTAATGTCACTCAGAAAATAAATGATCAACAGCAGCAACTTTTCCCACAGCAGAGAACCAGTTTCTAACCCGACACGGCTGGAAATTCTCCCAAATTCATCCCCATGCTTTGGTTAAGATGTGTGTGGTACTTCTTAAGAATGGGTTCTTCTTTGACCTTCTTAGGACACTAGGCAAAGACATTCTACAACCTAAAGTTCAGAGTGGAGAAGGAAGTGGCATAAAGTAGAAAGGTGGGTATTTATAAATAATTTATTATCATCCCAGGGCAAGTAATAAACTTGTAGTATATAAGAACTGAGCAGAACCTGAACTCATCTTGGATCCAATCCAAATGGAATCTTTCTCCCATTCTTAGCATACGTGGGTGAATTCGGATCCAAGGAAGATAACAAAAAACATTAAAAAAAAAAATCACTGAGAATTTCCAAACTCAGACTGAAAAGGAATGCTAATTTCCCAAAACTTCTCTTCCCAAAGTGAAATAGCTCCTGTACTTATAGGCATACTGTTTGCTCAGTGATACTTACAAACACACTGGGACTCTAGGATAGTAGGTAAAGGACCAGAAAAGAAGCAGAAAAACATTGTTTTTCTCTCTGGAGATTATCTGGTATACAAACCATTCTTCTTATTCCCTTTAAAATGGCAAGGAGCCTACTAACTTAATCACTTGTTTTTCCCAGTATGAACCAAGTATTCACTCTGCAAATTGTGATTCAAGCTTTTTCCCTGTAAGCTGTAAGCCAAATCAAAATAATTCTTCCAAATGAAACTCAATGCATGCAACAGACATTTTTCAAATGTACTAACAGCCTGTAATACATAGGCCAAATACTTGCCGGTATCCAGGGAAGGATTTTTTTTTTTTAATAACAGCTTTACTGAGATACAATTCACATATCATAAAGTTTACCCATTTTAAGTGTACAATTCAGCAGTTTCTAGTATATTTACAAAGCTATGTATTTACTACCACTATCTAATTACAGGACATGCCTTCCCCCCAAAAAAACCCCAAAAAACCAAATATACACATTAGCAGTCACTCTCCATTTCTTCCCTTCTCCTAGCCCTGGCAACCACTCATCTACTTTCCTTTTATATGGATTTGCCTTTTCCGGACAGTTCACATTAATGGACTCATACAATACGCGGTCTTTTATATCTAGCTTCTTTCACTTAATAGAATGTTTTCGAGGTTCATCCAAGCTGTAGCATCGGTACTTTGTTTCCTTTTATGGCTAAATAATATTCTATTGTCCGGATAAACCAAATTTTGTTTATCCATTCTCAGTTGAGAGACATTTGGGTTGTTTTACTTTTTGGCTATGATGTATAACGCTACTACGAACATCTGTGTACAAGTCCTTGTGTGAACATACATTTTCATTTCTCTTGAGTATGTACACCTATGAGTAGGATTGCTGGGTCATAGGATAACTCTATGCTTAACTATTTAAGGAACTGCCAAACTGTTTTCCAAAGCAGCTGCACCATTTTACATTCCCACCAGCAATGTATGAGGGTTCCAATTTCTCCACACCCTTGCCAACATTTGTTTTGGTCTTTTTTATTATAGCCATCCTAGTGGGTGTCAACTGGTATCTCATTGTGGTTTTGATAATGACTGATGATGCTGGGCATCTTTTCATATGCAGCGGAAGATTTTTATTCCTTTATACAGTAGTCAGAATAGAGCCTGCTAGAAAGTATTTGTCAGATAAGGAATCACGTTTTGTGCTTAAGAAGGTTTCCAAAACATTTGTAGCTGTGATTCAATAGTCAGTTGAAGCCTTTTAGTTCCTTTTTTTTTTTTTTTTTGAGAAGTGCTTAAGAGAATCTTTTCATAGAGATGACAGTCAAAGAAGTTTATGAGAAAGAACTGCCACTTTGCACACTGCTATGGGGAGCTGCTGAGACTGTTTCTAAACCTGGATGTTTTAAGAGTAGGTTTGTGAACATGGTCATATTCTAGGTGTTGATGGACTTCTGTCCTAGATAAAGACTATTTCCTTTCCCCACGAACATCGATAAAAGTTTTGAAAAATTGGGAACAACCTGGCAACTGACAGTGATAACCCCAGGAGTCAGAAGAGAAAGCCATCAGCTTAACTAGTAGAAGAACTGACAGAGGTGGACATAACCTCGTACAGGCAAATCAGTTCTTGAACCTTTTTTGTGGCACTGTAGGAAGCGGAATCCCTTTCTAGGTAAATAATACCTAATGGAAAAGAATAAAATGGAGCCAGAAAAACATTTAAAAAAAAACATACACACACACCCACCCACATACCTCCAGAAAAACTTAAAATTCCACCAACCTGAATTAACTATAATTACTTCTTTTGGAAAATGGCAAAGCAAAACTCCTGCATTCAATCTCTGAATAAGTGTTCCTCCTTTGGTTTTCCCAACGTGAAAAGTTCTCCAATTTGTTTTAAACCAGTAAATGCCTTTTCTTGAAATAAGTCTTACAGGGATGTTACCCATAAAGGCCCCACACATTACAAATGTAATGCAGTATTGATCAGTAAATCTTAGTTGTCCAAGTTCAAACACATAAAACCTTTACATATTGTAAACAAACAGTAGGAGCTCAAGGTAACTCTCTATTCGCCTCTAATGTACTCATGTTGCATATGATGATAATTATTTATAATTTTATAAATAGATCAAACCATATCAAGAAATGGAATCCATACCAAACAACAAACAGTACCCCCAACGAGGAACTCATGAATACAGTTTAGCAACCACTGCTCTAAATCTCTACACTGGAACTGGTATAAGTTATTACACTACCCACTACCCAGCACTTCCCCACCTCTCTTTCTCTCTCTCTTCTCTTTTTCTCTCTCTCTGTCTCTCTCTCTCACACACATACACACACACACACACACACACACACACACGCAGAGGTTGATTTCTTCTCTCATCGAGTTTCTTGCTGACATGATGATCAGGCTACTAATAATTAACAACCGTTTTCTTATTTAACACGGACAGTGTACCGCCAATGTGACAGGGACCACAGTGCACACATAACCAGACCAACACTGCACGCATAACCAGATTATTAGTCCCGATCTCTGCCTAGTGATCTCTGCCCTAAGTTAATTGAGATCTCCTAGCCTGAAAAGCAAATTCCCACTAAAAGGTTTAGAACACCATCATCACACCAAGCTGCGTTTGCTAATGACAGAAAAAGTCTGAGTGGCCCGCCAGATGGAGGCAGCTGTCCTTAATCCCCTCGAGCAGGTGATTCAGCTCTTTCACTGAGCCAAGGCTCGGAAAAGGTCAGGGATTCATTTGCAATTTCTGTATCCTTATAATCTCCAGAAATGATCTCTCATTAAATGTCTACTAGGCTCACATTATTCCCTTAATTTGACTTGTGAAGAGCTGCTGCAGACTGGCAGCTCCCCAGCCTGACATCCGCCGTCCTGCAGCGAAGGCTTCGACCCCTTATCCTCCGCCCGGAGCCCCAGCTCCAGCGATGCCCAAGTTTACACAGCGCAGCCCAAACAGCTGTCTTGCAATGAATGTTGGCAGAGCTCACACCAAATACCCAAGTTGACCTCCCCAGTTAGAAATGTGCCATCCTCTTCACTTCCCCTTCAACTTTTGAAGCCTTGTTGCTTTCTCTCCTTTTAGAGAGAAGGGGGAAAAAAAAAAGCCAGGCTCACACAAACTCATTTTCTTAAAAGTTCTGTGGAGAACATGAGAACGCGAAAGGGTTCATGCTCAGTCCACTTGGAGGGTCTTAGGGTAAACCACAGAGGCGGGAAGAGGACGCCTGGCCCACCATTTCGGTTTGGGCTATCATGCCTGAGATAAGAACTCCAGGAGGAGGGAAGCAGGTTGAGTCCAGAGACTGGCGGTTTTACTGCAAAGAGCTTAACAGAGCAACACACTCTAAGGTACAATCAAATTATTTCCTTGTCTAAAAGAAGGTGGTTGGTGGGCCAGGCAGAAAGACATGGATTTCAGCAAAACCACCACTGCCCTACTGTGAGGCCCAAAAGGTCACTTCCATGCTCTGCAGTTTCTGGGACCTCATCTGAGATACTTTCCCCCGGCTCCTCTCACCTTTAAAAAACAATGAGCCCTGTAGGGGTGGAGCGGAGAATGGTAGCAAAACCCTGAGCAACACCCTTCACACCACCCCTCTTTCTCACCCCAATATCCAAATTATCACCACGTCCCC